CTCTCACTCTCACAGCAGCTCCACTCTCCCTCATTCTTTGACTTCTCTAACGGCAGCAGCAACAGGTCACGGCAGCAGCAGCAAGTCATGGCANTCGGCATTTGCTGAGCTGCTGTGATGATTCATGTCATCTGATGAGTTTGTGTTGTGATGTGGCATTTTGATGACACACGTGGAAGTCAACTTTGGAGTTGGCTGGTCAAAAGTAATTTGTTAAGACTTGAGGGGCAGTTCAGTCTTTTCCCTGTGTTCTAAAACCTAAATTCGTTTTAGGTTTTGTGCGCAACTCACTTCTCTCATTTCTCTCTTGGTTAACAGAGAGAGAAACGATTAGAGGTGCTGTGCTAGAAATCCAAGATCTGTCCATGGAATCAACGGTGATGGTAGGTGTGAGCTGTCCTTATTGTGTAGTCTTCTTTTCTTTGTATAAATATGTACTGATTTCTGCCTATTTGATGTGGTATGAGTGGTGAGAGCATCTGGGTATACGGGTGTAAAATCAGAGGGTTTTGTATCGGGGTGATGCCTTGGTGTAAAGGGGTGAGCCGATTCTTCTGTAAGGTTTCTCAAACTCATAGTGAAATTATCTTTCTAGTTGTTCTGAAGAGTGGATGTAGGTAATCATTCAGATTACCAAACCACTATAAATCTGGTGTTATTCTTCTTATTTTCTGCTTTACTGTGTTATTATTTGCTTTTGTGCTTGTTTGGTTGAATGAACACTTTTGAGCTACTGCATGATTACACTTGTTTTTGGGTCTTATTTACAACATATGGTATCAGAGCTTGGTTTTCGAGTACCTAGATTCCATTAATTCTAGGTTGTGAGATCCAATTTTTTTTTCTGCAGTAATCTAGGGTTTCTACAGTTCTATTTGCTACTTAGGGTTTTCGGCTGGTCTCTAAAATTTGGGGCTTTTAGTTTCTAAGGTACTAGGAAGGTTAGAAACTTACAAATGTCTAAGTATGAACTGGAAAATTTTACAGGAGATAACGATTATGGGTTGTGGAAGATGAAAATGAGAGTTGTCTTAGTCAAGGATGGGTTGTCTGCTACCTTAGAGGGTGAGGAGAGTTTACTAGAGATCTTGACTGAAAAAGAAAAGAAAGAACTTCTAGATAAGGCTTACAGTTCTTTAATCCTAGGGCTAGGAGATAAAGTCCTAAGAGAGGTTAAGAAGATGCAAACACCAGCAGAGATTTGGGAAAAATTAGACTCCTTATATCTGTCTAAGTCTTCACCAAATAGGTTAGTTTTAAAACAGAAATTTTTTAGTTTTAAAATGGATGAAAACAAGGTCTTAGGTGACAACATAAATGATTTTAGGAAACTAATTCAAGACTTAGAAGGTCTCAGTGTTACCATTGAAGATGAGGTTCAGGCTGTAATTCTTCTGAATTCTCTTCCCAAAAGTTTTTCAAATTTTGTTGATACACTTAAGTATGGTAGACAAACCCTTAAGCTAGATGAGGTTGTGGTAGCTATTACTACTAAGGATACTGAGTTTAGGAAGGAGGGTAAGTTAGATNGATGGATAAGCATTATCCTTTAAGTTTCTTTGCCACTAAGTTTACTTAACTCCGAAGTATACTTAGCCACTAAGCAACGTGCAACCCACTTGAGTCACTAAGCAAGCGGGTCGTGACACTAGGCTCTCCTACCTATCAAACTGGTCTTTTGGGTTGGACATCGGTGAATGTCGATAGAGTGAAATCCATCGTAGACATCGGCTCTTAAAAGGAGATGTAATGTTAGGATCTCACATCCACCAAGTGTGGTACTAAGCCTAATGGCTCTTCCACCTATTAAACCGGTGTTTTAGGTTGGACTCTCCCTTGGGCTTGAGTTCTAAAATAATGCAATCAAAGTTTTGTCTTATAAAGTGTTTAATATGCTTCCCCTACAGTACTCATTTTTTTAAAGATTGTTTTCTCGTTTAATACATACAAACATAGATATTGGTTCTTCTAAGAGTCCCTTTAATGTAACTTATTAAAATAAATTTTTTAAAATAATGCTTATTAGCGTAAATCTTGTGAAAATAATACTTTTACAATAAAAATTACACAATTTTTTAGTCCGATAAAAGTAAAAGAGCTCTTTAAACTTAATTAATAAAACATGTTCTAAAATAAAAGAGCTCCTTAAACTTAATTAATAAAACATGTTCTAACATATAAAATTGTTAAATCAAACTTAGGAGATGTTTGTCTGAACTTATAAAAATTAGCAAGTGCTTATAAGCATTTGAAATTTTAAACAATTACGTGTTTGGTTAAAATATTTATAAGTGATTGACAAGTAGTTGACATGTTTGATAAAATGTGGCTTATAAGTACATTTTATTATAAAATGACTAAAAGAGATACTACATTGAACAATGGTATACTATAGAATTTTAAAATTAAACAAGGATAATATAGTAATATACTTGGTTAAACTAGCTTATAAACTTAAAAAAATTCTAAACAAATATATCCACTTAATTTTAGAGTTTATAAACTACTTTGATCAGTTTATAAGCTTAGACAAACAACGTCTTATATACTAGCATAAGAATATTTTTTTGCACTTCAATACTTTAAATAAGCTCATAAATAATTATGAGAATTGCAATCAAACAAGGGAGAATTTGTGGAAAAAGTTTTTCGGAAAGTCTTTTGGTTGAAAGTTGGGTGAGTAAATTTTCTCGGGAAAATCACATGCATGCAGATGAATGCGTGGTTCTGACATCTTTATCGAAGAAAATGCGGCTGAGCTGATGTCATTTCAAATAGGTTCTACTTTATACAAATGGCTTCAATGTTTGTTCTGTTGCTGTATTACTATTACATTATATATTATGTGAATATTGTTTTCATTTCTCTTTTTTTTTTTTAAACAAATTATACATTTTAAATGATAAACCTCATTATAACAAGTATATACTTTTTCGGCTCGGCTCGACTCGGTAAAAGCTCGTTTAGAGCTCGACTCGATAAGACTCAACTCGAACTTAGTTTGTTAACCGAGTCGAGTTCGAACACAGTGAAGCTCAGCTTATGGGCTCACAAGCATGGCTCGACTCGTGTAAGCACTGTACACTTACGCATGGTACTTTGGTGATTTTTTAAACTATTAGGTATTAAACTGATAGTTTCTAGTGTAAAAAGTTTTAAAAAATGACAGTTTCCCCCCCAAAGTGCAAATTCTTATAACACGATACACCAAAATACCAAGTCAATTTCAGTTCCCAATCCCAATTGCCCTAAATCCCAATTCTCAATTTCTTCAAAACTCAAACCCCAAATCAAGACCCACCTCGCCTTGGCAAACTTTCTTTCCAAAAGAACCGCCACTCTTCTTGGCATCTCTCTCCCCATATCAATTCCATTAATCAACTCGAAACTCCTATTGATTCTGATTTCAAGGACTTTTCCATTCCACAAGAAGAAAAACAACATACAAAGTCTTCACCTGATGGTCCTGTCGATGAAATTTTACAAATTGCAAAGAATTTACCGGACAATTCCACGTTAGGTGAAGTCTTAGGGGGTTATGAGGGAAGAGTTAGTAAAAGAGAGTGTGTTCAAATGTTGGGGTTGATGGCAGAGGAAGGTCTTTTGATGAGTTGCTTGTATTTTTATGAGTGGATGAGATTGCAGGAACCTTCACTTGAGTCGCCAGGCGCTTGTTATGTTTTGTTCCCAATATTGGGGAGCGTTAGAAGGGGAGACCTCTTAATGATTTTGTTTAAGAATTTGCCTCAAAGCAAGGAATTTAGAGACGCTTGAAATGGTGGTTTGATCGAGCCTTATCGAGCTTGAGCTCGCGAGCCGGCTCAAGCTCGACTCCAACTGGACCGAGCTTGAGTTCGAGTCTCAATTTTGAGGCTCGCCAGGCTCGAGCTTGACATTGTTGCAAACGAGCTAGGTTCGATAAGCCAAAAGCTCAGCTCAGCTTGACTTGTTTACAGCCCTAAACTTACCAATAAAGATTTGAACTGACAGTATGAACATTGACGATAAGGAAATCCAATGAAAAATATCAATAGCATGTAATTGGTAAATAAACAATTTATTGAAATAAGTTGTATCGTTTCATGTCAATAAGGCATGTTTCTTCAATAAACTTAATACAATACAACATTGACATCTTCAAAGCATATTTTAGCAAATACGGGTTCGAGTCAATTCCATTTGTTTTCAAGTGTAAAAGATAAAAAATAAAAATCATATTCCATTTGTTTTCAAGTGTAAAAGATAAAAAATAAAAATCATATTCTAATTTCTTTTTCTTAAGTAAATCCAAAGAACATCCCAAATTAAATGTTGAGGATCTTTTTCAGAGCCCTTACCAGCCCCCTAGTATCTGGCCATAACACCCAAGCTATGGCTCAATTAATGCATGGCATTGCATGCTTTGACTGAATTAATTACTTCTAGATAAAGAAGCTAACACACACACACACACACACAGAGTATTAGTAAATTCGTGAACAACCGTATTTTATAAACCCAGTCATATTATTCACGAATTATATGCCCCAATCATATTATTCACGAATTATTTTCGTATCCAAATTTTTATCAAATTTTTATAATCGTATTTTTTACTATTTTTCATATCATATTCATAAAATTTTCGTACTTATATATTTAAAATGTTATATAGATTTTAACCAAGTGACCCATGAAAAATACTAAAACTAGAATTGATATTACCGTATTTTTCAAAACGTATTATTGACAATGTGTCGTATTAAACCCGTATCATATTTTTTCCGTATCCAAATTTTATAATCAAATTTTTACAAACGTATTTTTCAACATTTGCCGTACCATACCCGTAAAATTCTCATATCGTTTTTTTACTGTATCCGTAGTTACTAACTAGGCTTGACACAACAGAAAATCAGCTATGCAGGAAACTCGATAAATCCCAAAGGAATGATCTTACCTCCAAATACTAGCAACACAATAAATTAAAAAGACAACTTCAAAATCCCAATATACTTACAAATTTACAGATGAAGATGATGTGAAATATTATAATATAATACGAAATTTAATCACTTACCTCCAGCCATATTGCTCAAGTGTTGTAGAAAGCAAAAACGTGAATGATTTGTGAGTGAGTATTTGAGAAATGTCTTCTAGCTTATGCCTCCAGAACCTTTCTCCCTTTTGCATTTACGTAATATCATTTTGATGGAGAAGATAATATCCTTATATATGGCTAACCTAAGGACCAAATAACTCTTATTAACTGCTTTTAACCTCTTATCAAGGATCAAAAAAGGTAATTAATAATTCCTTTAAACCACCGTGAACTGCATAATTGTGGCATGTGGCCACATCAAGTCTTACAGATGAAACGACTCTCATATAAGTTTTCACTATAAAATCCAGGGGAGCCTTCCGGCCAGGAATATGGCATTCAGAGTGAAAATCGCCTGAATAAGGCGAACGACTAGCAATCTCCCAGAAGAATCATCAGGAAAGTCAGAAACAGGTTCACGAGCAACCAAGCCTTTTAATGCTTTGTCCTATAAAGGTAATTGACGATCAATTTAGAAGAAGACAAAAAAAGAAAAAAAAAAAAAAAAAACTGCTCCCGAAAAGTATACCATGTCAGCAGTAGCCAAGTTGGATAATCTTTCATCACCCAATGAAAGTTCAGTAACACTACGAAACATACTTTGACTACACTTTTCAATCGTTTGACGAGCTTGCACCTCACCATCGTTTGAACCTCCAGAAGGAACAGAACTACCAAGACAGGAAAGAGATATGATACAGATCGATAGAACACAAGAACATTACAATAGCAATAGTAGTAACATAATATGAATAATGACACTCTGCTGAATGCATACCATGAAAGCTGGTCTCTTCTTTTGGCAGCAATATTGAAAGCGTGGAAAGATACTTCAAGCTGCTAGGCTGCTCAGTCAAACTATTATCCTATTCATACATAGAAAGGATCTGAACAAATAAATAAAATAATTTTGCTTATATCAACTGCATTTATAAACATAGATGTCAATCAAAATGTAATATGTATACTAGAACAGTACAAAGTTATATAATATGGACAAAGTAAGAACCTATCATTTTCTTTTTAGAAAGCACCCTAATCCTGACTTTTGCCGGGTATACTTCATCCATACGCGTTCAATGTATCTTGGATTTCGCAATAGGTCTGGTTCTTAACCCATCACCCACTTCACTAGTATTACTGAAATAACAAAAAAAATTCAGTGAGTTACTAGCTCAAAAGAGAATAAAGAAACTAGTGGAAATTTTTACCTTGTAGAACCAAGTAAAGGAGCAGGAGATTCATCTACAAGCCCTATGACATTTACCCTCTTCAACTGTTCTCCCTGTCACACAAATTTTCCAAAAATAAAAATTTTGCATAATGTTTTACAAAGCTCTTGAGAGCTAAAGTGCGATTAGATACAGCTAAAAGGCCTTCTTTCTAAAGTTCAACTAAAGGTAGGAAGCCATCAAACTAAATAATATAAAATTTCCTCACTCTATAATTATGAAAAGTGTCATCCTGTCGTGATAATTGGCTAACTCTTCCTTAATTCACTTAATAAAATATCTCCAAGTAGACCAGAAGATGGAAGTATATAGTCCCAAAAACATAAGACACTAGCTTCTAAAAGGCAAGAGAGAGAGAGAGAGTGAATGGATCTAGACATCAAAAAACTGAAATAGAGAATCAAAACTGAACCAGAGCTAAAAACCATGCAATACTAGCATTGTCACAAGTGTTAGTCATAAAGCATGTTGGCATAAACGGTGACGTTTAAGTGTCTTATATGTGCCAGCACTGTCGTTTTTGTAAAGCTGAAAGTGTTATAAAAGGGAAGCTTAATCCCTAACTGTAGCAAGTCGTTCAGTTACAAATAAAATCCCCTTTTGCTTCTCTCAATTTCTTGCTCAGATCTGCTTCCTTACCCCGTTCTCTCAAATTCCACATGGTATCGAGGCCTGACTGCCGCAATGGCAAATACATTCAATTCTTCATCAATGTTTAACGGCATTGAAGAATTGCTTCGAAACTCAGCTAATCGCACGACTTCAGCTCTGGCGTCCGTCTGCAGGTTATAAACCCAAAAATTACCAGAAACAATTATCGTTTCTGGAGCTCACAACACTCTTGGCTGTCGGGTCACATGAACTTGAAGATCACTTGCTTGTAAGTTCCTTGCCCTTCACCAGTTATCAGTTGCATCTGTATTAGATGACAACTTAGGTGCAGTAAAGACTCATTTGATGAAAAGATTAATCCTGATTAATTTTGTGGAAGAAAACAGATATTTTCTTGTAAGTTGGCTATTAGCTTCGATCTCTGAGAGCAGTTTAGCTATGTTTCTAAGTGTCGTTTTGCGAGTGAGATTTGGATTGCTTTAGAAAATGAGTTCATTCCAGACTCAAAGCCAGAGCTCTTCATCTTAAAAACTTACTACAGACTACTCAAAAAGGTAATCTTAGTATTGGAGAGTATATTAAGAAGATGAAAGAAATTGCCGACAGTTTCATGCTAGTTTCTATTGTGTCAGAAGAAGATCTTTTGCAATTTGTTTGGATGGGCTGGGACCAGAGTTTGATGCAGTAGTTGTGAATCTTACCTCTCGGCTTGAGTCTAAGGTAGATAAAGTCACATTACATGAGGCGCAATTTCTTCTACAGAAATATGAAATTCGGTTAGACGATTTAACTCTACAGACCTGTACAACAGTTCTGTACTATAGCCTCAACGGTAACTCTACTGGTTCTTATGATGAAGTTCACAATGTTAACGTTTTGGCAAATCATCTATGGGAAGTCAGCATGTGACAAAGCTACTGAGCCCCCTGTCCCAATATGTACCTTCATTAATATCTCTTGGGAACCCTCATTTCCTCAAACCTACAACTATTCCATCCTCACCTTCATACATACCGATGACAACAGTATAGTTATGCTCGACCTCATGGTTCTGTGGTGTATGGTCGTGGCAGAGGAAGAGGCAATGGAAAGAAACAGACTGATCTGTCAAGTCTGCAATAAAACAGGGCACTCTGCTATTCGTGCTATCATAGATTCAATGCAATCTATACTGGTTCATTCTCACCTACAGGCAATGCTCCACCCAGTATTAATGGTTCTCATCATCATTTTGGTGGACAGAACATACCTTTTCCTGACAATGCTGCACTTCTGTTGGTGCTACGCATTCTGTTGGTGTTAATCCTCAAAACATTCCTGGTTATCAGTCACATCCTCAGTCACAAAATTTTGGTCTATCTGGCCCTGACACCACCAATCCACTCAATTTACTAGTTTCAGTGTTCCTAGTCAACAAACAACAAGTTAGATGCACAAGCTCATTTTGCAGCCACTGGCTCAGCCCTAATCAGTATTATCAACATGCTTCACCACTCTCTCTAGCTACAGCAATGACTCCAACTGATCCAGCTTGGTACATGGACTCAGGGCCACTGATCATGTCACGTCTCACTTGGGAAATCTGAATGTCAGCAAGCAATATGAAGGTACTAATCATCTCCAAGTTGGCAATGGTGAGTCTCAACATTCTCATACAGTTCAATTATCTTTACCAAGTCAATTACTACAAATTGTTTACATTTAAAAAATATACTTTGTGCCCCAAATTACAAAGAACCTACTAAGTATATCTAGGTTTACCAAAGTAATGATGTAATTGTAGAGTTTGATGCCAATTCTTGTGTTGTTAAGGACAAGCTAACACGGGAGTTAGCTGCAAGGGGGACTTAAAGGAGGACTGTATCATTTACACATTCCATCCACACTTTCTTCAAAGTCCCTGACCATCATTTGCTTCCTTGTTTCAGTCTCCTGGTCTCACAAATTTATGACTCCTCTGGTAGTGCTGGTAGTGTTTTGTCACAACCTAGTGTTCAGCTTACTACACCTGTTATTACTGATACGAATAAGTCTAGCCTTGTTTCAGAAGCTGAGTGTTTATGTCTTGTAAGCCTCTGGCTTCTATGCCTCAACAATAAAATTCAGCCTTTTACTGTTAAAACTAGTGACAGCATTGTTCAACCAATGTTTCTTCTTGTAATGAGCTTACACTGATGAAATTTCCAATAAATTGGTTACTGAAAGTACTAATGTGATGCTTGCTTCTTACTGCCAAAATGTTGCTGTTGATAATCTTACTACTAATAATTTTAATGCTTCCAACTTTAACTAGCTAATCTTCTAATAAGTCTGTTGATTCACTAGTTCAATTTCTGCTGCTGCTAATAATCATACTGATGCGTGTGATGATAATGTTGTGTACTTAACCACTAGTAAGCATATCTTGATTACATGTTGTGGCATAAGCGACTAGGTCATCCTCATCCTAGGAGTTTACAAAAAATCATTTCTGGTTTCTCAAACAACATGTTTCTTCAGAATTCAAACTAGTACCCCACTGTTTTGTGACTCTTGCAACTAGGAAAACTGCATCAGGCTAGTTTTCCCCTTTCACAATCACACACCACTTCTCCTCTTGAATTAGTGCATAGTGATGTATGGGTCCTGCCCCTTTTGCCTCTAAAGAAGGATTCAAATACTATATCATTTCTTAGATGATTTTAGCAAATTTACTTGGTTATTTCCTCTTCGCACTAAATCTGAAGTCAAATCAGTTTTCATTAAGTTTCATCACTTAGCCGAACGACAATTTGGGTGTAAATTCAAATGTCTTCAGTTCTGATCAGGGAGAGATACAAAGCTCTCCTCCCTTATCTCATTGATCAGGGTATACAATACACGGAATTCTTGTGCTTACATTCATCAACAAAATGGCAAAAGTGAGAGAAAGCATAGGCACATAGTTGAGACAGGTTTAACTCTTTTAGCACATGCATCCATGCCTCTTCATTACTGGTGGTTAGCTTTTGAAACAGCTGTTTTCCTTATAAACAATGCCATCTGTTACTCTTGATTTCTTTTCACCTTATCAAATTTTATTTAATCATCCTCCTGTTTATGATACTCTTAAAGTCTTTGGCTGCTCATGCTTTCCTTATCTAAGAGTTTACCCAAAAACAAGTTCAATTTTCATTCCACAAAGTGTGTCTTCGTTGGGTATAGTTTGCTCCATAAAGGTTACAAGTGTCTTAAACCAGATGGTACCATTGTTATTACACCAAGTGTTTCAGTTTAATGAGAGTGAGTTTCTTTTAGTACTCATAAGTTTACTGATAATCAAGTACCTCCTTTAGTGTCTCAGTCCCCTCCAGATACCATAACCTCTCTTCCTTTGTTGTCTCCTCTTCCCCAATTGTCAACTTCCTTTGTCCCTCCTGCAGTGCCAAGGTCACATGCTGTCCTGATATATCAACAGTTGGTAAGATCACTACTTCTACTACATTATCTTCTCCACATACATTTCTAATGATCCATTACCACTCAAAAAGACCCACAGCAACTAAACCCATATTAGAATCCTTCCCATTGTTAACCCCACTACCTAGTCCATTACCTATCCCAACTCTACTACATATCTTCTCCACAAACATTTCTTATGATCCATCACCATCTCAAAAAGAACCCATAGCAACTAAACCCATATTAGAATCCTCTCCTATTGTTAATCCACTACCTAGTCCATTACCTATCCCAACTTCTCCTAACTCAATGTCACCATCTGTTACATCCAGCCTGTCACATTAGAAAATAATCCTCATCCCTTACCTACTATTTCATCTTGCCTTGCATTACTCTCAGACACTTTACCCTCTTGTCACCTTGAGGTTGATCTACCCATCAGATTCCCGAGTGATTCACACATCTTCCAGCCCCCTGCTCAAATAATCATCCTATGCTAACAGAGCAAAGTCAGCTGCTGCTAGTTCTAGTATTGGTCACAAAATAGTCCTTGCAACCACTTGCCATCTGCTGAATCTGCTGTTCCAGAGCCTAGTTCAGTACCAGAAGCTCTTGCT